TTATTTATATTAGACAAGTCATTGAAACCACCATCTTTATCCCCTTAAGAACTACCCATAGGACTACCGTTACCATCAACTGACATCTAACCCAAATCCTAAATAAATTAATTGGAAAGAAAATTAAAAAAAATTCACACATAAACAAACAACGGAGACTCTGCTATTTTACTGTACTAGGTTTAAAGAAACTTTGAATTTATTCTCCCAATCCCGAATTCCATGCCTTTTTGTCCTACAAGAATCTCAGTTGCCTCATCTCTTCACTAGTTATATATGGTTTCTAGCTCACATGTGACCCACTCTCTTACGTTGGCTTAGAGCAATCTCTGTTCTCTTGAATCTTTAGCTTTTCCTCTTACTTTCTCAATGATCCATGGCTTCTATTGTTTAATCTAATCATTTTGCCTAAGTTTCTCTTCCTATGCTCTTCTTTACGTGCTTCTCATATGCCACACATTTTTCTCCATATTAGCAACTTATCCACATGTAACTCACCTTCCTCACCGTCTTGTATTTTTTTAGCACCATTATGTATACCAATGATTTAAAACCCAAATCGGACTAGATGGTTGGACCAGTCTGATTGACAATCGGATATTTTATCAGCTTGGGTTGCAACTTTAAACCTTCTAAGGGGTTGAGTCGGTTTGAGCTATTCAAAACCAGCTTTTGAGCTAGTAGCTGGAATTAAGCTGAGAACCAAAGCGGTTTGAGGGAAAAAGGATGGGCAGTAACGAAGAAGAATAAAGTGAATAGGAAAGAGGAAAAAATAGACTAGAAGAAAATAGGAGAAGAAAGAGAGAAAAATTTTAACATTACCTCATATTCATAGCTTCCCTTCTTACCTGGTAACGTTGAAAAATTAGCCATTCTTTTATAAGAAAGAGAAAGAAGAAGCCATGGCCATCAGAGACTGAGAAGCACAAAGCAAAATGTGAAGCATGGAGAAGAAGAAGAAAGAAAAAAATGACTATCAAATTCAAGCCTGTATGTGATAAGCTTGGTTGGAGGCTTTGCGCATTTTGAGAATCAACTTTTTCAAAATTCTTGAAAAACGTATTTTGGGGACATGTGAATTATGAAGACTGTTGGTAGGTTTTTTAGGCCGTAACCATTATTTTAGGTTTTTTTCATTGTTTATCTTTTTAGTTTTATAAATATTAAAAATTTATTTACAATTATCTAATTCATTTTCATTTTATCTAAAATAATTAATATAAAATTAAACATGTTTTTTTACTATATTACTACAAATAATTTGTTGTATGATATATTATTATCATCTCAGTTTATTAATTTATTATGAAATTGAATTGTTTAAGTTGATTTCTAAATTAGAGAATACTTAGATTAAGTTTCTTTTATGATTATGTCAAGTTCTCCAATTACATATGATTATGTGTTTATTTTTTTTCATATTAGTTTATAATTAGATATTAAATGCTAATATTTTAAAAATAGAGCACATTAGTCATGTTTAATTAAAGGACTTGATATAATGGATATAAGTAACTTGTTGTAAGTATTGTTCTTTTAAATTATTTAATAACTTAATATTTTATTTATCTCTATATTATTATATAAACATATAATATTATTTTTTTAATTTAATCATTACATCACCAGTCTGACCATCGATCCAAATCGTCTGACCGGACGAATTGTGACCCGTTAGCCTCTTTGGTGCAACATCTGTTCTAGTTTTTAAAACATTAGTGTGTACCTAACAGTCAATGTGGCAGACATCTGTTAGGGTCTTCATCACTTCAAGACGATATTGCTAAATTTTTCATACTTTTAGGACGACATTACTTCAAATAAAACTTCCGAATACTTATTGCTTATAAGTGAACGTTTTCATGGCAAAAATGCATCTTATCCCTAAAATAAATGTTCAACGTTTTAGACCCTTATGACGGTGACAACGACTCACAAATTCAACTCACTCAGCCTGAAGGACTCTATCTCCCTCAGCCAAGTTTCCAGCCACAACTCCCATTCCTTGCAAAGGAATCCCAGGATCCTAACCAAGAAGACCCTGATCCAGAGCTCGAAGACTACTACTACTCAAGAAGCTCAAGGAGACACTATGACTCAGATGACCCCCTCAATATGTCAATCTCAATTATTAAAAAGGAAAATTGCAGCAAGTTTTTTTGGGGAGATTTACTATAATGCTATAAAGTTGGGATCCAAAAGCCGAGCATGGTCACAGGTTCCAGAAGATTCAGGAAATGATCGCGTGCGCACATCCGCTTACGGCAATAATAATTAAAGTAATCCCCCGAACAATCCACCTTGCTTAGTGGTCCAACCAATACGTATTCCGCGCTTTGTGCGCCAGGCTAGAATCTTCCACCCTCAAATGAATTTTTCAAAAGAAAAACTAGAATCTTCCATCATGCTTTGAATGCCCAAGTTCCCAGACATAATTTAGATATACCCGCACAACACAATGTTCACACATTGGGAAGATGATAGAATATGTATTTAATATAAAATTTAGTTAACAAATTTAGAATATTAAAATAGTTAGTTAAATTAGTTAGGGAAAATCCCAAAAAAGGTCCTTGGAATATGAGAAATGCCAGATTGGGTCTTTAAATTTCGAAAATGACAGAATGGGTCATTGACCCAATCTGTCATTTGTGAAATTCAGGCGAATTGACAATTTTACCCTTATTTATTCATTCACTACAATGATTCAAGGAATCACTATAAGAGTTTAGGTGTTACTTAGATTTGTGTAGTGAATAACTACTCACTTTTTCATAGTCAGGTGTCTTGTTATTAACTACAGCTAATTTTGTAATCACTAGAACAATGTAAGCATTATCTAGATTTGTGTAGAGAATAACTACTCATTTTTCCATAATCAGGTATCTTATTATTGTCAGGTACCTTATTATTAACTACAACGAATCTTGTATTCACTAGAACAGTGTAAGAGTTACCTAGATTTGTTTAGAGAATAACTACTCACTTTTGCTCAGGGGCAAAAATGTCAATTCGCCTGAATTTCACAAATGACAGATTGGGTCAATGACCCATTCTGTCATTTTCAAAATTTAAGGACCCAATTTGAGATTTAGTATATTCCAAGGGCTTTTTCTGGGATTTTCCCAATTAGTTATCTATAGATATTATTTTTTTAAAATACTCTTATTAATCATGTATGTTTAAATTACTTATTGATAGTAACTCCTTAACATATACAATTACTATAGGAATTACTTGAAAGTAAAATATATAAATATTAGAGACAAAATGAATTGAGGTCTTATATCTATAACCAAATTGAATGTCAAACTTGCTCTCATATTAAGGATCGAATGTAGTACTACCTCTTGGTCCTTAATGTAGGGCCCGGTCAACTATTTTGAAAAAACTAAAAAAATTACCAAATTATTTAATTATTATATATGTTACGTGATCTTTATAAAATATTTATTTGTATCATTAGATTATATATCAATTTATAAATAAAATAAATTATTTAAAAAAATGATAAATACAAATACTTTAAAGAATTTAATAAATTTTTTAATTTTTATAAATTGATGAATTGGGTTGACGACCGGAATAGTAGATTACTCACTGGGAGTAAAGTAAAATATCAATTTTCAACTGCGACCCAAATTTAGGAAACTTAATTGGGGCAATAATAAAGAGTTGAAAGAGTGATAAATATTACCTTAATTTAATTTGTAAAAATTAATTGAAATAAAATTTAATTTTACATATATTAATTTAAACAGACCTTAACACTTACAAACATATAATATTTTGATTCATTAACGCCATAAAATTAAACAAGTGAAAATGATATGAGGAGAAAAGAAGGATGGATTAATATAATATTAAAATGTGAACGTCATTGTAGAGCCATCTTAACACATACTAGTATTACGATTTCGATCCCCTATTCTTATTACTTTATTATTAAATAAAACAGCTTTTCTAAACGACACGTACTAATTAGATTGATATTACGTTATTTTTGAGAAAACAAATTAAAAACTTGGACACTCTAAATTCTGTATTGACTATTTAGATGGGAAATGTACCTTATCCTCATCTCTCCAAATGGATTAACGTATATTGATCATGCTAATATAAAGATTATGTTGGAAAGATTGTTTTCATTTCAGGTTAAATTTAGATTACTGGTTACTTAGTAATACTAAATGCCACATCTTCAATGCTCAATATAAAAGTTAGTTGAAAAATTTGATACTACTTCCGGTCCTTATTATAAGACTCTGTTTGACTTTTATTTTGATCCTAAATATAAGACCCCAATATACTTTATTTCTCATATTTATCTACTTTTTTCCATGATAATCCTTCTAATAATAATAGTTATAGATAACAAACTTGACTAGCAAGGATATTTTAGGAAAAACAACATCTATTCATTACAAAATAACTAACTTAATTAAGTTCTTTAATCTCCTCAAATTAGTCAACTGGGTCTTATAATTTGGACCGGAGGTAGTATAATCCTATATATTCTGTATTCTAAATTTATAATTTTATTCTAAAATATTTCTATTCAGTATAAGGGTTTTTGCCAAAAACATATTTTTAATACTCCTTAAATTAATTGTATAATTCTTATATTAAAAACAAAAGGTAAACCTAAATGTGACAACTTTGTTTATATACCTCCATTATACACTGTGAATTTATTTCCAAATAGCTAATCCAAACACTTTTTTGTTTTCAAAATTTTAACAGATGGAGCAAAAGATATTGATGAAAGAAATTTTTAGGCGTAAAAGGGGTGTGTGCGTGCGCACAGATTATTATATAAATGCCTCCATCACAATTGCGAGATGGGAACACGTTACAGGATATTCGTGAACACGTTACAGGATTTCTGGCGTTCTCCTCCCGCGTTTTCAGAAACCGGCTTTCGTCTTCATAGGCTGCCTTTGTGATTTCAAGAGTGTCATTCAAGTTCGCTTCAATCGTACTTCTCTCCTTTAACTGTTTAGTCCTGGAGATGAAGGTCGTTCTGGTCACTGGTGGAGCCGGTTACATTGGCTCCCACACCGTTCTCCAGCTCTTGCTCGCCGGTTTTAAGGTCGTCGTCGTCGACAATCTTAATAATTCTTCTGAGGTTGCTATGCACAGAGTCAGGGAGCTCGCCGGCGAATTCGGGAGTAATCTTTCCGTCAACATGGTGCTCATTGTTACCCATAACTTCCGATCAATTTTGTTGCATGTGCTTCTAAATGCTGGGAATTGTAATATTCCTTGTTCATTTAGATTAACGTACCCATTCTTGCTTTGCTGTTTTAATTTGTCACGTTTAGGTTCGATATATCTTTATTAGACGTTCTTTTAATCTCAGCGTGATTGCCGTTTGCCTTAAACGCAAGAGTTTTGATACATAAAGCGAGGCCGACACGCTGAATTTATATATTTTTCAAAATTATTGCCTCATGTTTACTGTCAGGTTAGCAATTAATCACGTCAGTGGCCTACTTTTTGATGGGGAATAAGTAAATAAGTGAGGTTTATTTTCTAGTTCGATTAAATCTCTTCTTTTTTTTTTTTTTGGGTGCCTTTTTCTCCTTTTAATATCCAAATGCTTGCTTCGTTTGCCCAGTTGCCCTGTTCTGACTCAGGGGTTGACTGATACTTAGTGCCTTCAGCATTTAGGTCAAAATTTAAGCTCTTCAGTTGTTGACTTTGGTTCAGATGTATATATAGGTATATATACGTCTAAGTACATTTGCACATAAGTGTATCTAAACATATTTACATGCGCGCGTGGATAAGCAGACATATACACATATGTGAAGTCTTTTGGTTTTTCATGTTTTTGAAATAGGATGAATAAAGTCATCCGTACTGTTGTTTACTGGCTATCAAATCCAGTGAGCATCAACTTTCAACGAGTTTTTGTTGGCGCTATACTCTGGTACCTAGTTTTTGCTAAAAATGAAAAAAAAAAAATCAGTTACCAAGTGCTTCAACTAATTAATTTTGCATCTTGATGTCTAAATTCTAAACATTGCATTGCAGCATAATTATTGTTCACTGATTTTGTAATGACCTATTGCTTACATTATAAGTCGTCAACTGCAGGTAGATCTTCGGGACAGAGCTGCACTCGAAGAAATTTTCGCTTCCACGCAGTGCGTGCTACAACCAAACTTTCTGTTTTCGGAAAAAATTACAATGTCTTTGGTTTCTTACAGTTGCATCTCATCAACTATCTGTTTCTGATCTCTACTAAATGCAGATTTGATGCTGTCATACATTTTGCTGGGTTAAAAGCCGTAGGTGAAAGTGTGCAAAAACCATTACTTTATTACAACAACAACTTGATTGGAACGATCACCCTCTTGGAAGTCATGGCTGCCCATGGATGCAAGAAGGTAAGTTTATTTATTTCTTCTTCTTCCTTTCTTTTCTTGTTCTTGTGATTGGCTTCTACTTCATAGATAGTATGCAAGGAATGTAATCAATGTTGTCAGAAGTTATCTTCTTTGAATTTATGCTAAATTTGAAATGTTTGGTCTTTCTCCATGATGAAGTTCCTTAAAATATTGTTTGGAAAATATATTTAGCTTTGGTGCTTGACCCCAGCAGCTATAAAGGTGTGTTGTTGTATCGTTGCATTCTCTTGTTGCTCCTGTTGTGACAGTATTCTTATATGTCAGTTTTTCCTTAGTTTTCTTTCCTTCTTTTCCCTTTATTCCTTATGTGCACAGAAACCAATCGAAGTAATGATTAGGAAAGTATTTGGCAGTTTTCAAGTTCCACAAGTAAATAGCTATTTTGGTCCTCGCTGTCAAGGAGATAAAGTAGAAGCCATGTTGGACTATTTTAAAATGAAGTCTTGATTTTCGTTTTTTTTAAGTCACCTTAATAGTATTGCTACCTTGAGGTGGCTCCTCAGATTAATATTATGCAGTCTTGGTGCTTCGTTTTGTTATTTTTGACTAACGTATTTTTTGCATGATTTCAGCTTGTGTTCTCATCTTCAGCAACTGTATATGGTTGGCCTAAGCAGGTTCCATGTACAGAAGAGTCTCCACTATCTGCATTGAACCCATATGGACGAACCAAGGTACAAATAGAATGTTGTTCCTGGTATTTTTGCTGTGGTATTGACAATGACTTCTTGGCCTTGCACACCATGTCTCTGATTTGGTGAATATCGGTGACATCGATGGTAATTGGAATCTAGTGATGATGTCTGAAAGGGTTTCTATTCCAGCTTTCCATTGAGGAAATGTGTCGTGATATCTACCAGGCAGATTCCGAATGGAAAATGATATTGCTGAGATACTTCAACCTAGTTGGTGCTCATCCGAGTGGTTATATTGGTGAGGATCCTCATGGAATTCCAAATAATCTCATGCCATATGTTCAACAAGTAGCAGTTGGCAGACGTGCCGCATTGACAGTATTTGGAAATGATTATAATACAGTTGATGGCACTGGGGTATGTTCTTTCTAATTCAAGACTTTGCAACTTCTTCTTGAAAGGTTGCATGAATTTTTATCAATGCTGACACTCAAGTGAGGAGTCTGCCTGCTATTTTCTTTTAGTTTGGAATGGCACTACACATGCACTGGCTCATATGTTCTGGAAATCCTAATCTATTAACAAAGTGCAGTTGGATCTTATTTCTTATTAGAAAAATAATAATCTTTCCCTATTAGACTTGAATGTTCCATTCCTTCTTCCCGCTGTTGACTTCTACTGAGTATACATGACATACTTCTTTTTATTTAAGATTTGATTTTCATGACTTCACAAAAAGTCTAACTCAATGAATCTCATCCTTATTGTTAGGTGCGTGATTATATTCATATTATTGATTTAGCGGATGGGCATGTAGCTGCATTGCGTAAACTAGATGATCCTAATATAGGTATTCTTAAAATTTGTCATATTTTTCTTGTTTACTTGTTATTTAAGTCTGTTGGTTCTGTCAAGGTGTCTTTTGTGCTTTTTATTTCTACTGTTTTTTCTTTTTAATCTTGTGCTATCATTATAAATATTACTTTTGTTAGTATTTGATCTTGTATTAAATTCATAGTGTGTATATGTAGGTTGTGAGGTGTATAATTTAGGAACAGGAAAGGGAACATCAGTTTTAGAGATGGTTAAAGCTTTTGAAAAGGTCTCTGGAAAGGTAATGGACAGATTATTTCCAGTTCAGTTGATATGACCATAATTTTTGCTGTGAAATTCGTTGGCCTACCTGTGTATGGGTTGTTCTAAAATTTGCAAAGCATGTAGCAGTTTACATGGTTAGAATAATTGTGTCATTGTGATCACTGCTCAATTATTTAATCGTCTTTTAAAATCTACATTTATCTAGTAAATTTGGAGTTTTTTTAGCACTCTGGTGATATCCTTTTGCACAAATTTGTAATGCTAGGATGAAGTGACTTCTGTTTTCATGTAAAACTCACGATATGTAGCTTCTCGAGTAATCATAGTGTAGAACCTTTAGTTAGAAAAGATGAAAGAAAATGGAAGGCACATGAAGGAGATAGAACAAGGTAGTTTTTAAGGATGGCTCACACGGTGCCTCAGTAACATGCTTTTAGAACAATGCATTAGAAGGAGAATTGTTTTCTCTTGAGGATCCCAACCTAATGGGCTGATACCCTGTCAACTATATTATACTTGGATTGGGCTTGTCTGTGATTGTGTCATATCACATCAATTTGTTGAATAATTTTGTTTTACTTTGCAGAAAATTCCACTTGTGATGGCTGGTCGGAGGCCTGGTGATGCTGAAATTGTCTATGCATCAACGGAAAAAGCAGAGAGAGAACTTAATTGGAAGTGAGTATCATTTAGTTTGAATGGTTTAGATATTGCCCTGCAATTTTCTTGGTTTGTTTTGTATTTTTTTGCCCCCAAACTATCCAATTAATCTTTTGTTGTACCAACATAAGAATATGATCGCACAGTCAAGATCTCCTTGAAAGCAGAGAGAGTCCAAAACTAAAATTAGTTGTTTCATTTGTTTGAATGAATCCTGTTTTGGAATTATTTTCTCTTTCTCACATGTTTATCTTCCTTGCAGGGCAAAATATAGCATTGAAGATATGTGCCGTGATCTATGGAATTGGGCAAGCAAAAACCCTTATGGCTATCAATCACAAGATTCCACCAAGCAAAGCTAATTGTCAATTATATGGATGCTGACCTCTTCTAGGGCCTCTTACAAGCCCTGTTCCTTCGTAGGCGTGTGAATCACTGTGAATCTTTTTTTTTTTTTTAATGTTGTAAAATAATTGTTAAAGGTGTCTTGCTGTACAGATTATTTGAACTAGGATCCTTTCATGCAAATCCAAGGTCTAAACTTCATGTTTTAGAGACAGGCATACCCAGACTAGATTCTCAGTTTAAACTAGTTTTGCTTGTTCTGTTTTCTCCCCTGCTTTTTGTTTGGAAATCATGGACGACAATAATCCTAAATGGAATGCAATCTCGTGTTTGAATGATGATTAATCCTCATATTTGTCCCTCAAAACAAGTACTAATTTTGATAGAAACATGACTTAGTATATCATCCAAAGAGAGATTCAAGAAATATGGATTCTTTTTTTTTGATAAACAAATTTTTGGAAAAGGGTTGGGCTCACCCACGATCCAAGGGCAGGGCGAAATCTCCCTTCCTCCTAGGTCATACCAATGTTGGGCAGGGCGAGCCGTCAATTACCCTCAGGCGTTTACCTAGGCACCCAAGAGCTAGGATGCCTCCCCAAGCGCCGCGACTGGAACCACAACAAAGTGGTATTCCCCAGGGATCGAACACATGCCAACTTGGTCATATGTCTCACCCCTTCGCCAGCTGAACCCACGGACGATGGGTCAAGAAATATGGATTCTATTGGGAGGTTGTTTAGAATCGTGAACTTGCCAGTTAGTTTGAGGTATGACTCTAATTAAATATACATTCCTTATTGCAGTCTGTTCCGTTAACTTACCAACCAAGTTCTGAGCATAGCGGCAACACATTGATTTAAAGTATTGCTGTTCAATTTGAACAATAAATAAACAGAGTTGATCTTCCTTCGATTTCATATGCATGCGTTTTTAGATATAATTATGAATATGAATTAGTCATTAGTATTAAACTGTCGCTACCAATATGTGTTGTGTATTGGGATGATATCGAGTGGAATATTAATTGTGGAAAATTGCGAGTTCGATCATTGAGAATCAAAATGAGAATACTATTGGATGGAATATCAATTTTCAATTTGTCAAAAGACATGTCTAAAGTGTGTGTTGATATTTTATTTCAATCATAATGTTGTATTTCTAGGATAGGGTGTGAACTATTGAGACAGTATCCATGGACAAATATCTGAATGATCCTAGCAGCATATCAACTAGTTTTCTTTTGGGTTATATGCACAATAGTTAGTTAATGGGAAAATGTAGAAATTAATTTTAATTAACAAAGAAATAGTTGTAATAGATTTTTTTTAAGATTCAAAGTTTTTGGTTTTAAAAAAACAAATCATTCGCATTGTTTTTCCTTGAGCATATTATTGAGAACTCATAGTAATTTCTTCATTATATGGAGAATTGCTATAAGCTTAGTTATTTGTAGGAAACAAGTATTTGTTATAAAACTAAAGGTAAAGTAGACAATAAGAGAGGACAATTAGAGAGAAGAGAAGATATGACTATTCCTCTCAATTCAAGATATTGAATACATTATACATGGCTTCTGTTTATAAGCATAATTTTACATTTTTTAATAGAATTTACAAATTAAATACTAATAGAAGATAATCTTGGGTTAGATAATGAGAGATATTGGAGATGATAGGAGATATAAGAGATAATGAGAGAGATATATAGATATCCACAAAAATATTATTATATTCATAACACTCCCTCTTGGACGTTCATTATATATGAATGTGCCTTGTTGAAAACTTTAACTAGAAAAATCATATGGGACAAAAATCTAATAGAAGAAAAAGAGTTTATCATTCATTGATGCATTATGTAGTGCTGTCTTATTAAAAACCTTACTAGAAAAACCCAGTATAGCAAAACCATAGAAAAGAAATAAAAGTACAATGTATATCAACTCCTCCTCTTGACAACATCAATTGACATCTTCGAGCCTATAGTCTAATATAACTAATAAACCTTCCAAATGTTATAGTGAGATGAAAACGTCAAATATTAATTTCATAACCTTTTAAAAATTATTAGGCAAATAGTCCCTTTGTGGTCTACAGACATGTGAATCATACTATGATCTCTCAACCTGAGGATCAAACAAGAATCCTTTATCCATAAATAAAGCCAGTAAGATTAGTCTTGGATACATTTAGATAAAATAATATCACCTCCGCAGTATCTTTAAAGTAGCAAAGAACATGCTTAGCTTCATTCTAATTTCTTCATGTTTATGAAAACTATATCATGCTAATTAGCAAATGATATATCAAGTTTTGTGTGGATGTTTAGATCTATAATTGTTTGACTGACACTAAGATAGAGTACTTTGAGACCAAGTATTTATTCATCAACTTCTGGAGGTCTAAATGGATCTTTAGTCCACATCTAAAGATCTAGAAACTATTGGAGTAGATAGTACATATTTCTAGATCTTTTTATAGATGGGTAATTTGAAATATTTTTATACTATCGCTTTAACTGATATTTACTACATTAGTTATACCACATACGTCTCTATATAGACTTATTTAACTTAATTGAGTGGTGTTCTTGAGAACATAATTGTATCTTCTGCAAACTTGAATCTTTCAAGGATTTTCATATCTTGTGATCCAAATCTATCCATATATTGGATTATTTTGAACTTGCACAAGAGTTTGAATCCTTCTAGGATTCACATAAAATTTCACTATATAGTGAATCACTATATTTTCTAGACGCATATGAAATCTTCTCATATATTATCAAACTACCAGACTGATAAGATACATAAAAGTTTAATCTACCATAAGATTGCATTTCTTTTTTCTTGTACAATTGTCTATTTATATAATACTAACATTACCTTTTAAATGCTTAAGCCAGAGATACACAAATCCCCATATAATGTTATATCTTTTCTTTTCTATTAGCCAACCATCTTTCTGTCTATATCTCATGACAGATTTGTATATAAGATCTTCATTTGATCAATTGATATCATCACTAAAATTATTATCAATAATTTTATTCCTTTATGGGTCTCTTTTCTTTTATGATATAACATATCGAGATCTCTTTGTTTCTTCCAAACACTTAAACCTCCCTTGATATTAGGGGGACATACGAACCAACTAGAAACAAGTATACGATGGAATGAGACCCCAAGAGAACATGCCTCTTATAAGCCCAAACACAAGAAACCGATTGAATGATCGAGGTAGGATTTTAAGAGAATCTATCTCTTATAACCTTAGCCATCAAGACACCACAAGGTCGATCACTCTCTTGCTACTGTCAAAGTATTCTCACAAGAATATGAGGATGCAAGCAAAGCTCACACAAAGAGAAATATAATTATCATGTTATTAATTATTCAAATCATTCCCTTATAGGCAACTATAGAACACTTTAGAATCATAATCCTAGGACATAAATGCTAAGATAATGCCTCATTGATGATTATTTGACTATGGGAGGCATCATTTATTATATAAAGAGAAAATGAAATTACTTAAATTTCAAGAACAAGTTTGCTATCTAAAAAATAGGAAACTAAATCAAAACAAAGCTTCTGGAACAATCATTAACCAAAAAGCCTTATTCAAAGTAAATGAATATGGAAACTTCCTAAAAATGAAATTAAATCTTAATTAATGTATAAGGACACCTTCTAGATGCTTCTTGAATGTTTTGGATGTCACTTATGTTCCTTGTCCATGTCACTGCTTGTCATATGGTTTTTTAAGTGAATTTTTTAATCAGGACTCCATCTGGGCCTTGTACATCATCTTAGATTCTTGTTGGGCTCATTGATCATGCCATGGTGGCTTTAGAAGTGGCCTATCACATGTCACTTCAAGCTTTGTATTTGTAATTGTCCATATCACTATCCAAATAATGATCCATGTCCTTCTCCATGTAAGCATTTTAAAGCTATAAATTCTTTGAACACTTTGAAGGACTGGTTGGGCCAAGAAAGGATAGTGCGAATAGTTATGGAATGGGCTCAAATCAGGGTCTATTTAATACAAATAGTGAGCCTTCTAATGATATGGATTTTGATGAATTCTCTAGCCCATTAAAGTCCGGAGATAAGTAGTAGGCTAGCCTAGTTGTTGAACAGACCTCGTATAAAAGTCATAGATCTCATGTTACTATAAAAAAATAGTGCTAACTACTTGAATGAAGCAAGCCTAAGCATAAGGTTCTGGCATAGAGTTGCTAACCAGTTATGTAAGAAAGTTTTATTTCAAGATAATACTTCAGCCAATGTCCAGCAAGTAAGGAAACCCTATATCATGGGGTTACCAGAGGATAGTAAGGAGGTTGCTATTCAAAAATCTCAATTACTTAGAGTTTCTTTGACTCATATTTCTTATTAGTCTTGAAGCTTGAACGTGTTAATCTTAAAAGGGGCTTAGAGAAAGTTGAGCATGAGGTGTTGCATATAACTAAAAAGCAAAGAAGAGAAGAATCTGAGTCTATTGATGTGCAAGTAGATTCTAATACTGAGTTTTCTTTCTTGAAAGGTAGGAGTGAGGATTTGGATAATAAGAAGAGGAAACAAAAACATAGAAGAGGAGCTAGTAATGCTACTTCTGGGCTGATTAATGTTCCTATGAAAGAAGTACATATTAGTAGAAATGGTGGAAGAGATACTGCAAATAGAGATGAGTTTGTCTTTGCTGCGAGAGGGCTTGGTGGCCAGCCTCAAATGGCCACTAGGTTGCCATGAGTCTCTTAAGTTAGAACTGTCAAGGGATGGGGTCTCCCTTGATAAGCTAGAATTTAAGGTTTCTGGGTGAAAAATTTAGACCCCTTTTAGTTTTTCTTATGGAAACTAGAGAAAATTTGATTAAAGCAGAGCAATATAGAAGTTGGTTACACTTTTAAAACAAATTTTATGTTGAACTTGAAGGTACTAGTGGTGCTTTGACCCTTTGGTGGCATCATAATATTCATATTGACATACTTATGGTTGAGAAGAACTTTATTCATCTGTGAATCATTTCTGGTCTAGAGC